GTGATTCTGTGATTCTGTGATTCTATTGTCCCTAAGCAAAGGAGAACAGAACTTTATTTACAAGCACCTTTAATTGGTTATGTATACAGCCTTGAAAAAGCACCAGCACCTGGTATTTAAAGCTCCAGTTACCTTGTATAAACCTCACTTATGAAATGCTGATAGAACACAAAAGTTGAGCAAAAAAGAGTATAATGTAAATCAAATTCAAATACATGCAAATAATCTGTTTAAGTCCTTATGGACATCATATTATCTCCAGATTACTAAGAACACACCTGCAAGCTGAAGGCTCTTTCCATTATGTAAAATATTATGGCAACTAAAAATTAAAATGCAAATGCAAATATTTTTACTCTTTTAAATTTAAAAAGTATTAATAGCTTTTAATCACAAAGCTGAGAATTACATAGTAGAAAGTAAACTTGTGAGAACACTAGAAACAAGTCATCAGTTTGCTCAAAAACATAAGAGTAAGCCACGGGGACAGTGGACTAACAGTGCACCGGGTTTTCAAATCTGTGTACTACACATGCTAAATTGCAGGGCATGTGATTTATGTAGGTCTGTCATCTACATATGGAGTGCATATATTACATAGAAGATGCCATGTCATATTTGTCTCCCTGCACCTAGTGTGTATCTACACACATGTTTGCAAACATATATGTGGGTAAAATATTTGAGAAAGATGTCCACATATCGCTGTTTATAAATTACTGGAATTCAATTTTTAAACTTACCAAGGCTTCCTGACACTTTTTAAAAAACTGACATAAATACTAATGTAATGCTAATTTAAATACCAATGCTTGTTGGAGTTGAAAAAGTTATTTAAACAAATGTCAACACTTGACATTTTCCATGCCAAGTGTCTGCTTCAGTTTGAGTCTTGTGGAGATATATCATGGAAAACATTTAAGCTATTCCTGAAAAAGGCGATTCTGGTGATTCCTTATGGAGAAGCACTAGTACCTTCACACTATGAAGAAGATACTTGAAACTTAATGAGAAAACAGCTTTTTGATTGTCACTGAATATCAACTCCAACCTGTCTGTCTAACAAGCCTCTGAAAAACTGGTGTGCTTAAAATGCCCTGCTAGAGAATGCTCTTATGTTCTTTAGAGATTCATTCTGCAGTGAGCCTGCACAATTCAAATTCCGGGTTTCTCTGAGCAGCAGTGCAGGCGATGGAAGCAGAAGATCTGTTCGTTTTGGTTTTATAGTGCTCTTCCTGAAACTGTCCAGGGCACATGGAAAAGGAGAATACCAGGCTTAAATGCTGAGGCGAAGTGGCAGGGTAGGAAGAATGGACTGGGACATACAGGATGGATGACAGGAGGATGGATGCTGACATAAGGGTCTGGGAGAAGGACATACAGAGACTGATAAGCAATCAGGAGGTTGAAGGAAAAAAAGCAGGGGCTGAAAAGACATGGGATTGAAAAGTGTCAGTGTAAGGGCAGAAGGATATGCTGAAGACCTAGAGTGTAAAATAGGACTGTTTGAACAAGAGATTTGAAACTGGGATTAGTATGAGAAGCGTAAAGATAGGAAACTTGTGAAAAATAGGAACAGAGATAAGCAGGTATAGAAGAACAGGTCTGGGGGGAAAATGGAAATATCTTTACCATGTAGAACACCCTTTCAGAAAAGTGGAAAGTACAAATGAAAATCTATGTTACTATCACTACCTGATTGAAACTCATTTCCTAGATGTCAGTCTTTTCCTCCTTCAGTGCTGGTCATTGGATATATATGTTTGAAAATTTTGTAAGGATATCGGGTGCTTCATTTGCTTAAGGTCAAAGATTTGTGTCATGATGTTCCCCCCCCCCCGCCCCTAAATTCTGGGTGTTTACGAATGTATATTCACACATGTAGATGATAAAGGAACAGCATAAAAATGTTGGCAGGTCAAGTACTCAAAAGTTAGATTATCCCGAAATGGAAGTTCCTTCTGCAGCTTTAACTTATCTCTCCCTGTATTTATTTTCATTTTCATAAATGTGCAATTATTGTAGTACAGTCTTTAAACTGATTGAGTGCTATTCCTTGGGTTGGAATCCTGCTTTTACAGCAAAAATTGGACTGATACTGGAAAATAATCCAAGTCAGAGAGTGAAGGGTACTGTCTGTTGTAGAACTGCTGCAATATTTGTTGCAGCAACTTCGTGGTTGTGAATGAGGCAGGAAATTGTTTAAAGGAGAGGAAAAAAAACTTACTCTAGTTGAAGGCAGCTGTTGTTGCTTCTGAAGTTGGATTGTATCCTGCATCTTGCCTAGGCATCACATGGAAACTCTGTGACAGTCTTTTAAATCAGTTTCCACAAGTGCGCCTCATTTTCTGGATGTCCAAATGAGGAATTTGAAGTCAGGTTACAGAGGTTCTGAGCAATCACAGCTGCAAGAGAAGTCAGCAGGCACTCTTTTTTTGAAGTGCTGTATAATGTTAATTGTTCTGAAGAATAAGGTACTGCTTGTTTAAAACTGGCAAGGAAAATTTACCAAATCTTCTCCTCTTCTCCAGAAATGCCCATGAGGAAATTAGGAAAAACTCTTCTCAGGATAATGTTAGAGCAGGGTTCAATAATTAAAAGCGACAGACCTGTTCACTGAACTGGGATAAGATAAATAAAGGATGCTGGTGCTGTGAACACAATCCATCATTTGCATTATATAATGCTTGAACTGTGTAAACTGTGGAGTTGTGGAAAAAAATGGAACTCGAAACAATTGTTTTTTCATACAGTTAAAGACTGTATCACAAAGTAAACCAACAGCTCTGATTCTTCTTAGGCAACATTTGTTCTGACAGTTCCCTAAACTTTGAAAGCTTGTCTTTAGATCTTTGATAGAATTTTTAAACTAAGTGTATGTGTGTGTATCTGCATATGATACTTGTCTGTATGCTTTTCCTTATTGATTGAAGCAAAGCCTTATTTTCCTTCTTAAATCAAGAGCCTTGGGCCAAAATGTAGATTCCTTTCTAGGGTGTACACATGCCTTTGCCTCTTTTGTTTTTGTGACAAGCTGCCTGATCTGTCAGGATTTTTTAAAATTCTGTTGTTAAATTCATCATGGAAGAAACCATAGTCATTGTCTTTTTGATGTGAAACTATTACATTAACTTACTGCCCACCAAAGTTCAGCTAACTTTATTTATTTTTTAAAGTGCTTTAAGTGCTTTCTTCAGTCTGTGTTTGTTGTGTGCTTCAGTTCAGAGAGATAACATTTAATACTTTCTTTCTTTTTTTTTTTTTTTTTTTTTAACAGATCTAATTGTGGTAGTAGCCTCAATTATTGTTCTGAGCATAGGCTCTAATGGACAGGTGTTTGCCACCTCTGCGATAAGGTATGTTCTCCTAGTGACTGTAGCTCTTCACAACCACAGAATTTCTAATTTCGAATTTCTGATTAAATGTATACGTAATTTTCCTAATATATGAAAAGTTATTATATGGGAACACTGGACAGTAGAAGGCTGCGTGTTATTGTGCTCAGTCTGGTTGGGAAAGAAGAGTGCAGAAGCAAGACATATGAAGAATGGTATGAATGCTAGAGGGAAAAATTAAAGAAGGATTTTGTTCTATATAAAACATCAAACAGCTCTCTTTCTGAGACAAAAGAGTATTACAGAACATCAGTTTATTTAAGAAGTAATCCAGACAGCACTTAACTTGGTACTTTTTGAATACAAGCAATTAACTTTGTTTAAAGAGCAATTATGCCCTGGTGGATTTGTTTGGCACAAGTAACTTAAACCATACATGAACAAGAAACATTTGATGTCTACAATGTTTGTTCAGCTTGCATCAAGTATGGCAAGCTTGTTTTGGGAAGTAAAGTGGGTAAACAGAAGAAAGGAATGATAAGCAGAGTAGGTGTACTTCCCACTCGTTCTAGCTTTACTTGCAAGATGTGTGTTGTGTTACAAGCCTCTGATTTCCAGTGCCGTGTAACCGCTGCAAAGTGAGAATGTACGGTGCTGTCTAAACTGTCTAGCTGTGTAGACAAACACTGGAGGGAACTACATGTATGAAGTATTTTTAAGTTAACTATTACCATAGAACATTAATCCTTTACATGATATAAAGACTCACACAAGCAGCATGAATGTGATTTATCAGCTCATATAGAAGAAGAGACGAGTGAATGTGAAAATTCCAGATGTTGTTTAATTTAACTAGGAGCGTAGGAAGGACTTTAATGAAAAGGCCTGCTGTGTGTTTATGTGTGAATGCAGGTGGCTTTCGGCTCACTGCAGCCTTACCTGGTGTTAAATTATACAGTAACTGTCCTACAACTCAGAATGTTTTTTGACAGAGAAACAACCCATGTCTCTACAGTGCTGTTATTACCCCATTGAAAAGCCATCTAGGTCAGGCAAATCTTGGTCCTGTCAGGTTTCCTCAGAACTGTAATGTGAGCAGCTGTTTTTGAATTAAGAAGGAATGAATCTCGTATCCTTGCCCTTGCTTTTGTTGCTTTTAAGGTATACTATTATTGTCCTCTTTGGACCTCACTTAAATCCCAGCAATCCCAGAAACCACGGGGGTGCATGCATGTTAGGTTGTTTTCTTGTAGAATGAAGTTGCAAGCTCCAGACCCATCAGGTATGACAGGTTGACATTTTGGTCCCTGCGGCAACCAGTGAGATTAAACCTGGTAGCACTGCAGAGCTCACGGCAGAGTCCTATAGCCTTCTGTCTTTACTGTTTTAAGTTCACCAAATTGATGAAAATGGTCTTCTTTCCAACCAATTTCTATTCTCTTTTCAGACCAAATGGGTTGTGCATGTTCAGAGGCTGTGTAGCTGGAGTTTCTTGTTCAATATATTGGTTTTGAAATCTTTATTTCTAAAACTGCCAGCCTATAACATGTGTGTCAGCACTTGCCAGTAACATAGCCGTAACCATCTCAGATACAACAGAGACAGGAAAATCAAGAACTGTCATTGGGTCAAGGCTTCGAGAAGTGTCTAATAACTCTACAGGGGAGCTACTTGTAACTCTCTCCTCTCCTGACATAAGCAACCAATGAGCTGTTACATTACGTAAGTCTGTTGGTGCTCATGTATTTGGTAGTCCTGTAATTCTTCCTGGACTTGTGTTTTAATTGCCAGGTTTTAAGTGCCTATTTTAAAGTTTTTAGCTGATTAAAAACATTATTCCAATGGCATGTCAAAGAGATAAGAAAACACAGTGTTCATATACCCAGTCACTGATACGTGATTTGATAGTCAGTATTATTGTGTGCTTTCCAAAAAAATGACAGGCATTTGATCGTTTGACTGTCAGCTGTGAAAGCTCAGAAAACTTGCTTTCTGAATAAAGGAAAACTCGGTTCTTTCAGAATATAGTATGTCTTCCCAGTGACTGAAGATGGCACCATGCTGACTTTCCTGCCTGTTGGTGTAACTCGGAAAAATGCAGCCACAGTGGAACTGAAATAAGATCGAATTAAAAAACAGAACCACCAGCAACAACAAAATGTTAAGAATAGCTAAAATTAGCTAAAAAGAGCTAAAAATACTTTTAGTGAAAAATTTTCAGAAAGGTGAATTCAGTATTCATCCTTTCCTTCTCTTCACTGTTTTTGTTCCAGTGATAAGATAGTAAGATGTGTGCAGGCAAACAGAGTTCATTGTCAAAAGAATGGCCGAAGAACCATATAGATAATAATTTTTCTTCAGTTGAAAATATTTGGAATTTATGATTCAGTTATTGTCCTAAAAACACATAGGACTGTATCTATTTAAAATTAAATTATTTCTTACACTAAATTAAACGATAATTTACACAAAAAAAAGATTTCAGTAATATCATGCTTGATTCACATTCTGCTTTTGGCAAATAGAGAAAAAAGTTTGCTCACATTTGTGATGGCAAAACTTGAAGCACTGTTTTTGCTTGGGAAAAGAAGCATTTGAGAATCATAATAGGGTAAAATATGCAATTTTCCTCTGAGTTTGAAAGCATATATTTTAGGCCTTTTTTGTTGCTTTACTTTTAAATAATTGTTGTCCTAGTCAATATTTCTGAATATATTTGACTATAATGATATGTGATCTAAACATACTGTTTACTGAGATACCTCAAGTCTTAGGATGCACCCCTAGCCGGGGGCAGTGCTATCATGGTTCTCTAACATGGCAGTATATTAGTGAACATAGTCAACTGTGTATAGATAGAGCAGCATTTTTCTCCATCATTAGTTTTATTTAATGTCGTGTTGTTCTTGCAGGGGGATCCGGTTTCTCCAGATACTTCGCATGCTTCATGTAGATCGACAGGGTGGCACCTGGCGACTATTAGGATCAGTTGTTTTCATACACCGTCAGGTACTAGATCTTTAAAGATCCCCAGCATTTTGTTTACTTTAGTATATTCTTTTAATGGAATTCAAATTGTAGTCTGGCTTAAAAGAACAGTTACTATTGCAAGAGAAAAAATACCTCAAAAGTCCATCATGTGTTCCTTTCAACTTTTAAAATTGTAATACTTTTCTTTATTTCAGGTCAGTGGCTAACAGGGTATCAGCATCAGTATTTTTTTTAAAATTAACTGTTGTACTCTTTCATGTTATCCTTCAATTTAATTTATTAAATGCAGTTATGTGGGCTGCCTTTCATATTGCAAATTCTGTCTACTATCTTCACAGAAGATGTGTTCCTAGCTTGGTTGTTCTGTAGAAAAGCAAATACTGGTGGAAAAGCCTTGATAGAAGAAGTCAATTATTTAAATCATTCTATTTTCTCTGCCTGACTTAGGAGTTTTCTAATCCATTCTACAAATAAAAATACTAACTAGGTTATGATAATATACAAGGAAAGTTAATTTTTCAGGGGCGTAGTCACAGAGGTAAACTTGGCTGTAAACAGTTGTATGTCCATTAAAGCTTTGAAACAGGTATTCTGTATAAAAGTTCATTGAGCAGGAAAAGCTTAAATGTTTGAGTGCAGACTTTTGAAAATTTCTAGCTGAAGGCTTCTTTTTGAAGCTTCATGGAATCTCTTGATGAAAAGCCAATTTAGCTATATCAACATAATAATAAACTTTTATCATTAGCCTTTAATTCTTGCATATAGTACTGTACTGTGGAGGGCTAATACTGTGCTATGAATCTTTACATCAGACCTGTAAGGGTGGTTCTTAAACCTACTCTTTGTGAGTGTAGATTTGTTCTCCAGATGTCGACAAATAGTTATAGATTTCCACATAGACAGTGTTTCATTTACTATTTAGAAAATGCTTGTTCTGGGCCAGAGAATGGGAGGTACTTAATCCAAAAGGTTAATTTAATATTGAAAGGTATTTTTCCTCCCTTTTTTTTTTACCCCCCAGTACTTTAGGAAATTTCATGTTGCAATGGCTGTGCAGCATTGATGCATACCAAAGTTCCAAGTTGAAATAAATCTTTTTAAAGTGCTCTAGTATAAAGCCTACTTTAATCCTGTACAACAAGATGACTCTTAATGCTCCAAGTCTGTGTGGTCTTCATTTATTATGGTTGCATTGCCTGGATATCTAGCTGGGGCAGAGCTGGTATCCAAATGCACTCTCTCAGTGGTTGCTAACCTTACTGACAGAGGTGTTTGAGAGAATTTTATCCTGTGGGTGTTCAGAGTTTTAGTGAAGAATCTGGAAATACTATCTCCAAATTATAACATTTAAGTCTTGAATGTCACAAACATAAATACGTTCAATGATTTAAAAGGGAAAAAAAAATACCCTTGGAGAAGTGAATTTATGAATAAATGCACCTGAAGTTCTACTAATCCAAAGAAGTGATTATGATGATATATAAAACTCTACAGTTCTGTAGTATTTGTCAAAGCAGATCACCCACTAACACATTAATAAAAAAAAAAAATCAAACACACAGTTCTGTATTGACATTGGACAAGTGTAGCTGTAAACCTAGCATAGTACCAAACAGAAGGGAAAATGGAACCTTTATTCCCATCCAGTCTCTTAAATAAATTTTTGTTTAAAAACAAACCAAAACAAAACAAAACAAAACCACCTCAGCTGCTTTTTCTTTACAGGCAAGAGTACAAGGTCCTCATTTATTTGTTGAGTTTGGTACTCTTTCAGAAAAAAATGGGATCCTGAAACCTTAACAATGTGAGCAAATAAATTCACATCTTTGTGACCTGAGAAAATGACAAGCACTTGGACCTCTGTGAGCCCAGAAGAGCTTACTAAAGTTGTCACCAATTATTTCCATGTGTTTTGGAATTTTACATATAGCTGTATTAGCTCACTCAGGCCCGATTTGGCTAGGATGCTCTTCTGTTTTCAGCAGGTTGAGCTTATGCAAGCATTTCTTGCCAAAAGCAACAAAACGAGTCAGTATCACATGTGGTAAGGGAAAGACATGGAAAAATCATGCAGCTTACTGAAAAACTGAGTTACCCAACCCAGCTCCAGCTTGTAAAACTCTCAATTAGTTTTACTTATTCCTCACCTTGCTTTGTGAGGTCTTCAGCTTTGAGGAGGGAGTTAGTGATGAGTTGTGGATTGGGGGTTTTCTTGTATTTTTCCTAAGTGTTGAGTTTCATGTTGTGTGGTCCTTATTGTAAATGAAAATATAAATCTGTCTAAGCTAAAAAAAATGTGTTGACAAGTCTCTCAATATTCAAGTTTACCTTTGTGCATATTTTTTTTTGTTCTTGCTGTTTCCTTTGCATATATGGATCTGAAAGTCTCTTAGCACTCTTTATTCTTAAGCTTTTATCTATTAAAAATTCATATCAATGTGAAGTTTTAAGGCCTGATTTCTGCAGAATGCTCTTTGTTTTTAGATCATGTATCAATTCATACTATTTGGCATTGGAAGAAACTATCCATATTTCTTGAAGCATGTACTATTTTTCAAATGTTCTGTCCTCCCTCTTAAGTGCAGTATGCATTAGATTGTTGCTTTAATCATTCTTATTAATTAAATATAGGCACGTAGTATTTTGTCTCTCAATGAATATGTAACATGGAGTGACATTTTGTATAAGTCTAAGGCAATTACATTTGCATCTGGGCTCTACTTAACAAGAGCTCAGTCTTTAGATGAATAGGTCTGGAGCTGAGAGGTGCCAAGGGTGAAATAACCCAACTAGTTCTGTTGATACTTCAGCCTCCTTGAAAGGAATCTCATAAGACCATGTATAGCACTTCTGAGAAGCATATTTTTCTGCCCACATCTCAAAAAGCCGGCACTTAAAACAGAAGTATTCCAATTGTCATCCACTCTGTAGTTCTGTCCTCTGAGACCAAATTAAAAGAAAGCAGTGATGGCCGTTCCTCGATAACATCTAAAATCTATTAAGATCTGAGATGTAAGCAACATGCCAAGTGTAACTAAAAGATTTCTGTTGATGTGGAAGGAAGTCACAAATCTACTAGAGATGAAAGCAGAATGTTTTCTTTATAAGCAGGGAACAAGAATTAGTCTCCATTGCTGTTGTAGTTTTCTATGGATCACTGACCTTACCAGTCTCAGGTGTTAAACATTTTCATCTTGCATTGAAAAAATATTCTGTAGGCAAATCAAAAGTTGTGAAAAAACAGAGAAATGCAAACAGTCATTTTTAAATGTGAAAACATGTAACTTTTCAGAGCAATGAAGTACTATCTACAATTACACAGCGTACTGTTGTCATTAGAGAAAAGATCAGAAAAAAGCAGTGATCAGCATAGAAATCTGATCTCCTGAAACTCCTGAAAACAAGTTTTATTTCCTCTTTCAGCTGCTTTGTTTAACTAGCGGGCCTAGATTAAAAGACTTGCTCATGAGCAAAACTAAATACTATCAAAATTCATTATTTAGGTCATTATGAAATTATTAGAGAAAAAACACCTACTTTGCTTGGTGCCAAGACTGCTTAAAAACTTGTTGAACCTTGATTTTAATTAGTGCTATAGCAGAAGGAAGAGTATGTGTAGTTCCTGCTGCTGAATGCAGTTACTAGCTACCAGGGCTACATTTTTATTTTTGCAGAAAGGTATTACAAGGAAATGGAAAAAAAAAAAAAACACCACAACAACAACAACAACAAAAACAAACAAACAAACAAACTCTGAAGGAAATTAGATTGTAAATCCTGAACCTTCCCTCACAAGCGGTTTAAGAAGCATGGGTTGAATGTTACAGAAAGCCTGTGAAAACTGCCATTAAATAAGTAGAGGCAATCCTCCTTAGACAGGTTTTAATTTTATATTTATCTTATGGGAATATTTTAATTCCCATATTGGTTTGGATCCCAGGAAAGAAAAATAACCCTATTAAGAATTTAAGGAAGATGCCAATGAAGATGTAGGACTGCAATGTTTCATAATAAAGATGGCTAAACGTGTGCAAAGAAAATAAAGGAATATAATACATGTTTAACTATTGAAGTATTGTAAACTTTAAGTGATTAAAATAAGCAATTTTCCCTTGTAACTAGGTATTGGATTTTCCTGAGGGGTAGGTACATATGTCATTTGATTATGATGTAGCATTGTTTTATAAGCTTTACACATTTTTGCATCTGTGACACCACATATTTTGGCTTCTTTAAATGCACAAGCACATTTTTCCTGAAGACTGTAACAACCCTGTATCTAAGCTGCATCAGTTCTGATACAACTTTCCTATCCAAAAATCTAAAGATAAACCGGTACATTCACAAGCACTGTATCATGCCCTAACAAAAGTCCCTTCTAGTAAACTGTCCTAACTTCAATCAGTCTTTGGTTTTCAGGACTGAAGTAGAGGTTACACCTACCTAACATATTTTATCTTAAGATTTTATTTTGTCTTAACGTGAAACTGTTAAGGCATCAATATTCAGTCTTAAGCAACCTAAATATCAGATACAGAAGTTCATTGGTTAGATATGGTCATAATGACAAGGCATGGTTGTTATTTCCTAATGGTTATTTTAGTGTACTGTTCATAATGTGAATTTTTAAAGCTATTTTACTATTTTTAAAATGTATTAATATTTGGTATTTTGAGTGGACAGCTAAATGGAGTGATTCGCATTCACAAGACATAAAACAGGAGAGATATCCCACCCTACATTTAGCTGTCCAAATGATTTTGTATAAATGATGGCTTCTACTTGAATTCTGTAGTCTAATATGACTAGAAAAGAAGTCACTGAACTACCTGTTTTACTGGAAGCAAATTTCATTGCTGAAATATAACTTAATAGTTTTTCTGCTGGGATGCAAAAAAAAAATCTCTGGATATTTAGAATGTTTTACAATGATAGAATACATATGATGTAAAACTTAAGAATTTGCTTTCTCTTTTGATAGGAACTCATAACCACATTGTACATTGGATTCTTGGGATTGATTTTTTCATCCTATTTTGTTTATCTTGCTGAGAAGGATGCAGTTGATGAGGATGGAAAGACAGGTTTCTCCAGCTATGCTGATGCCCTTTGGTGGGGTGTGGTAAGTCTTTACCAACAAAATGCCTGCGCAAACTTAGTGCACAAGATTTTCTGCTGAAGCTGTGATCTTTTCAGAAAATCTGGAATTTTTTTCTTTTAGAATGTATTTCTGTATGGAAGGTAGACAACCTTTTTAAAAGGGTACAAGAAAAAATATACTAACTAAAATTAAATTATTTTGATATTAAACTTTATTGTGAAATCATGATAACAAGTCCTTAGCAAAGGACATTGAATGTTTACAGATACAAAAAGTCCACATTGAAATCAATGTATAACTACCCTCCAAAACCTGCACCACTTCTTTTAAACTCTACTTAAAATTATCTGCAAGAGGTGCATAACTTTAAAAGTATGTTCTATTTGTGGAAGTTGGGTTAACTAGTCTATTTTTTTGATCTTTTTGTTTAAAGCTCACTCTCTTAGTAATTATACGGACCTCAATACAGTTTATGGGTTCCTGTTGTTTGTGGTTTTTTTTAATATTTCCATGATTCAAGGTAAATAGCTACATCAAAAGCAGCTGGAAAACACTTAACAGATTCATCAACTACTTTGGACATCAATCATCAGTGAGGGGTCATTGCAAATCTTTGGTGAAATAAAGAAAAAAATAAAACTAAGGGGGAACTGGGATTATGAGAGCATTGTGGTAATTATTGTGTGCATGCCCAGAATCAGTTGAAAATGGAATAGTTAGCTATGAACAGAATAAGAGACCAGATTGTTTCTACACTCCCTTCATATGGCTCTTCTCATTATGTTTCTCACTGTGACTCATGCTTTCCCTCCTTATTAGCTGTTGCACAAACCATCTCTTCTCTTGTGGTCCCTTTTTCCCCCTAGAGAACCTCATATATTTTATGAGTTTATGTGTCATTGTAACAAACCCAAGGAGATTCATCACATCAGTGTTAGTGACAGAGAAAAATTAGAGGACTGGAACAGATGCAGGGCCACTGACTTCCAGAGAGAGAAGGATATATTTCAAGAGTGATTTGGAACACAGTAAACTGGATTGGTTCTTAGATGATGGAAAATGTCAACATAGTTATTGGGCCATAAACCAATTGTTTATCTGCATCCAAATAAACTGGTGAGCAGGTCTGGTAAGACAGACGAAAAGTTTCTATACATATATGTTCCTAATCGTTAACTTGGATGTTCCATAAGCCTCTACTTCAATGAAGTATACAGAAATATAGATTACATTACGTGTATGCTGAGTTACTACTTTTTTAAGTGGTTCCGTATTAAAATACTTTTAACCATTAAATTCCTGTCCTTTGGTTGTCAAGTATTCATTTTATTTGCAGAGTATCACCTATGGCTGTGCAAAATAGTACAATCCAAGAAGAATCTAGTAAAAAAGAAATGTCCACTAAATGGTCAGATGGACCTGATTGTCTAATGTACTGAAGAAACGAAACCATGAAGTATCCCACACAATAATCACTTATTAAAGTCCTCAATAGACATACAATAAAATTTTCAGAACATAAAACCTTATGGTTACAGACATGAGATAACCTCTAGCTAGTGGAAGAAAGGAATAAATATCCCAGAAGCACAGATTGTGCTATATTTTAAAAGCAAAAGTAAAATAATTAAGGTGTAGTTGACATTATGAAAGACACCCCATGTCTATTTTAAGAAAAGAAACCAGTAGACAGGCTCACTTATTCTGCTATTATTTGAGCAGTTCAGCTCAAATACCAATGTTCAAATGATTGAATGCAGTGGAATGCAGCTACTGCTTCCGTTTTTATGAATGGTCTAGCTGAATAGTCTGTGAAGTACATCTAATTAAAAGTGGGGCTCCTTGTGGGAAGTGCAGCAACATTAGAAGCTCCCATAAAAGTTTGCGCTAGTTCAGCTAAATCTATGAGAAATATTGCATAAATTTTTCAAGCATGGTGAAGTTCCAAAGAGGTTTGTTATACCGTGTGAATTAGAATAACAACAGTAAAAGATATGAATGGAAAGCATATAGTTTATTAATAAGGATGTCTTAATTTAATTTTTAATCATTAAAAGATGATGATTCATATTTGCTCTCACAATATCTTTGGTGTTTCATGAAGTAATTCCTAGGCCTGTAACTGCAAAAGGCCAGAAATGCCCAAAAATTCAGACCTGAATGGGAGGGAAGAGGAACCCCTTATTAAACTGAAGGGAGTAAGGTAAAGTGGAAAACAAAAAAGGATTTTTAGCAATTAGTTTGAGAACTAGCTATGCTTTTTAGCATCCAGTTCTGCCCCTGTATATTCATGCATGGGTTATTCCTGCATGCCATAAAACTTCCATGTGAAGCCAGTATACTTTTTCTACCTTTACTTCTTTTTTATTTTTTTACCTGAAGTTATCCAGAGCTTGCTTTATGGATTGCACTGAACGTTTAGATATGGATTACAAAATATTTTTAACTGCTAGAAGCTGCAGCCTTGATTTGAGTGAAGAGTAAAAAATTAAGGACAAAAAAGTCAGGATGTGTTTATGCAAGCACATTTTGTTAATATTTTGGACTTAAAGAATTTAAGAGGAGTTCAGTTCAGTCAACAAATAAGTTTAAAATGTGCATTACTTTACCTTTTTGAAACAGATGACTTGGAATCCATATTACAAAGTGTATGTATACGCCTTGCAAAGTGTTCAGTGGGTTTTGTTGTTGTTTTCCAAAACTTGAGGTATTTTGTGTAACAGGAAGATAAAATCGGCTTTGTCTTTCTCTAGCTGTGTGAGGCACATGAAGAACACTGTTTAAATTGTTGTTTAAGCTTTCCAGACGTCTAGGCCCCCTCAGCATTAGTGAGTCACGGTGCAGGTGCAGTTCACAGCTGGGAACAGTGACAAGGGACAAAGTGAATCAGTTTCTTTTTCTTTTCAAATCTTCTGTAACATAGAAACACAGATGTGGAGTTACTAGGGAGTGAAATTTGATTTCACTTTTGCCTTTCAAAACCGAGCTGTAGGAAAAAAAAATCTTGGTAGCAAGTATTTGAAAGTCTTATGTGTCTGACAAAAACCACAGAGTGGGTTAAGGGTAAGATTTTGCTTCGAGTAGAAAGTGCAAGCTTGCTGAACTTGATACAAATGACCTGAAAGGTTTAAAGATGAAGAAAAGGGGAACTAAAGAATGATTGAGAGTTGGAATTAAATGCTAACTACATTTACCCGCTCCAGTTGAATGCAGGGTTGTTTCACCTAGATTTGGCAGGCGCACAGATTAAACTGCAAAGACATATCAAAGGCTTGTGGTATTTTACATGAAGCCACTTTCAGAACTTACAGCATGTTAGAACACATGCAAAAAGCATTTCCAACAGCATTGTCAGTCCGCCAGAATTGCAATCCATGTCACAGCAGTTTTTCTGTCCTTTCTGGGTATTTTTTCTTGAGGAAAGAAGAAGGGCATTCTGCTGGCTCTTCCATGCTTGTCTCTTGCTGTTGGTAATGCTTATTGGTTTTGCTACAAACTGCGCTATTCTGTACCATTGAACTTGAGTTAAATAGTCGCTCCAGTAAATTGGTGTTAACTGGCAAAGGTCCTTGGGATCAATTGCTCAGAATTTCCAGTAGTAAATTTCCATGCCAAAGGTAGCAGTTTGAACCCCTTTATAATGAATATGTTTTTTGAGGATTGAAGTTCTGACTCTTCAAACTTCAGGACACCTGCCTGTCTTAAAGCATGTGAGAAGCTTGGTTGACTTCTACTAAATTAGAGTTCTTCCTTTTTTGAAGTGTACATATATGTTTTCAGAGCCTGTTTTAGACAATGTGCATACCTGCTGGATTTTGCCATAGTAAATTTATATTAAGAAGGCAGTGTCATTTTCCAAAGTCTAGTTATTAAACATTCTCTGAGCAGATAACTAATAACTTTTGGATATACAAGTAGAAAAATCTTCTGGTTGTGATTAAGAAATCCAGAGAATTACATTATTTGTCATCCTATCCACATACTTCAATGCATTAATTAGATTACCAAGAAGGAACCTTCTTGAGGTAGCCAGGGAGAAATTTTCTGAGACATGTTCAGGCACCTGCAGGAATCTGCCAGACAAATGCCTGCTGTAGAGATGGAAAAAACGATCTTTTCTGTGGTTACAGCTTTCGTGCTGTCTTCCATAGTAACGCTAAGGCAGCTCAACATTACTGCAGTTTGTTTTTAAGTCCTGAGTGCTGGAGAACTTAAAAAAACCCAAAAACCAACAAAACAAACCCACAAAAAACCAAGAAGCCTTTCATAAGAAAAAAGAGAGGAAAAGGAAGGAAAAGCCCCAGACTTTAAGGGGTCATCTGGGTGCACTGAGGAGCTGAAGTGCCTGTAAAGAAACACTGCTTTAACTTCCTCCACCCCCCACTAACACACACTGCATTTCAAAGCTGAATTTTGGGGGGTCTGGTTTAATTTTTGGGGCTGGGACACTCATCTGCTGTTAGTATGCAGCACCTGAGTCACTTCAGGGGCAAGACATATTAAATCTGGACAGACACTTGGCAAGACAGAGCTCCTGCTGAGAGCAGTTTGCAGTTCAAAATAACAATATTCATTAGAAGATACTAGAGTTTACTTCATCAAGTGAGAAATTAATGATGAGTAAACACAAGCCTATTTTTTTCTGAACTTGAAATAACGCAGTTTGAAAGTAGTTGGACATTTTTTCTCTGCAAATCTTCCTTTCTGCTCCTTGTAGAACTGCTCTGAGAGTATTCTTCCCATGCTTTTATTGCTGATAGGTTATTCTGAGAAGCCTATTTTTGCATAATATCTAAGTATTTGTCAGCAACTTTTCCCATAAAAGGCAATATTGCCACATCCTCTTTTGTACTCAGTGCAAATTTACATATTCTAAGTCTGTTTTGGCTATATTTCTGCTACCATTCAAGGCAAAGTGAAGGAAGTGGGACTTTTTTTCTATTTAAAGCACTCCGCAGCAGTTGGTATTGGTATAAGTAACAGAATTCTTCATTTCTTCACCAGAAGCTTTCCACTTCTCAGGGGTGCAAGTCACCTTTGTCATACTATTTCATGGCAGTGTTAGGGCTCTGAGTATGCTAAAAAGCTCTTAACGGCTCTGACCAGCTACACCTGAGGCCACTCTCAACACTCACAGCCCTGAGGCTCTATTTCTGTATCTGGGTACTTAGTCCCTGCCTGAGCTGTGCTAGAGAAGAGCTGGTCTGCAGCTCAGCCTACGGGATGACTTCCATGGTTGACCTCAGACTTACCTTGTCACCTTGATATTGCTTTATGATTTAGACTCTTTGTTGGACACAGCCACTGTCTGTGAGTCGATCCTGATATGGGGCTGGGCCCAGGGTGGTGAGGCCCCTGGGCAGCTGTGAGATTCCCTTGGTTTGCCTTCGGATCGCTCCTTGGTATCACCTTGCATTGGGAAGCAGTGGGAACCCTTGTGGTGGACTAGAGTTCACCTGGACTCTGATCCCCCCACAGCACCAACCCTTTACTGACCATAGGGCTCCTAATGAATTCTCTTCCAGCCTACTGGGGCTTGTCAGGACCATCCCAAAACTTCTGTCCCCCTTAGACCCTCCTTGATTCTGTGGCTTTTCAGGGGTGGCCCGTTGTGCCCTGCTTCCCCCTGCCCCAAGCCCTGAGGTGCTGATGCAATGTCCCTTTCTAGTTTGCTCTCCCTGTTCTGTCTCTGTGCACTGGAAAAGGCTACTGACATCCCCGCAGTGATACTGATCCCAGGTCTGTGTGAGGATATGCCTTAGTGAGAGGGGAGGCTATTGGTAGGGCCCTGAGGGCATTAGTTGGCATAATGACTCTGACCGACATCACCTGTTGTTCTCCACCCACACCCAGGGACTCTACTTAAGTTCAGCACTCTGCTGCAGGAGAGCTGGTGTCTAACTCAGCTGTGATTGTGCTTGGCTAGGGAGTCCTTTGATCCTGACTTCAGCCCTTGGACTGACTTGCTGGCTGTATCTTGGCTCTGCATCATTACTGTGGACCCACTTGCTGACTACTGGACCTGTAGGTTGATTTCCTAGTTTGATGTGAGACTTGCCTTGTTGCTGTGGTATTACCTTATAGTCTGGGCTCTTGATGGGAGCTGGCTCCTCTTTCTGTTTGTCTTGTTTAGGTGCTTTGGGACTGGGTCCTCACTGGGGAGGTATTGCCTTGCTGGCTATTTTGTCTCCCTTGACTTTGGGCTCAAAACACAATTTTGAGTGGTAAAGAACTGTATTTGTAGGGGGAAGAAAAAAAAAAACAAAACCTGAGTATGGGGCTCAGATGTGTTTAGCTCTTGGTCTACTGGCATATTTACTTTAGGAGATAAAGTGACCCGGAATGGTTGTGTGGTCTTTGTCCTTCTATGAAGAGTTAGCTGGGATGGTGTTAGTTCTGTCCCTTTCCTTTTCTGCCAGCACAGTGCATTGCTTACTCTGCCACAGCTAGTGTCTCTGCCTGACTGCAGAGTTTGATAAATGTCTGTACATTAGTTGATGTGCAAGTCAGTGCTTTCAAGGCTTTCTTCTCGACCTAGTGGCACTATCCTTCAAAAGAAGAAGTAGAAAAACTGCAAGCCTATGGTTTCAATCCCACAAGACCAATCCTTACAGTTTTGGAAAGGTGGAAGCAGCTAGCTACAAACTGTGAGAAACGTCATCCCGAGTCCAGCCTACTGTTGCATCCAACAGAGTGGCCAGTTGTGAATGCCTGCTGAAGAATGTGAAAACAGGCTAAATCTGCAGCGTTGTCCTGTGGTTTTCTTATGCACACACCCAAATGCTGTTGATCTGTATTTATCTCCTGATACTTCTTTACTTTTTCTTTCTTTCTGGGAAAAAAAGGTACTACGTTGCAGTGAATCAGATGTTTGTTTCTGGCCTAGGTAACTGTCACAACAATTGGTTATGGAGACAAAGTTCCCCAGACGTGGATTGGGAAGACAGTAGCTTCCTGTTTCTCAGTTTTTGCTATATCTTTCTTTGCTCTACCAGCAGTAAGTAGATCTTGGTTTGCCTTTTTTTAAGTGTCTGTCTGACTTGGGCTCACATTAGGTAGTTTTAAGTTGGTCTCTCTGATAGGAAATAGTGGGGTTGGGTGTTGCTTCCGAATGTGCGTGCGTGCATTCTCGGGTGTATGTTTGTGTGTCTCTGCACACGCACACGAATGAATGAAACTGCTGTATGTTTACGTCAGTAATTTCAGAGAAATGTGGCCTAGGAAGGAGGTAAGAATAATTTTCACTACTCAAAGAACTGAAGCTATTCTGTGAGGTAATGAGAGAGGTTTTTTTATCAGCAAGTCACTGCCAGAGGTGAAACTTCGTTTCTGCTATTTTGTGATTATGTAAGAACAGCTTGGGGTCCTGTGAGGAGAGGAACACTGCCACAAAGCAGAAGTCTAGGAAACTGCATCTGCTTTCCTACACAGTACTATAAATAATCTTTGGGTTTTTTTGGATCTTCAAATAACAGAATGGGAGGAAAATAAAGACAACAATGTCCAAACAGTTAGAAAAGACAAAGTGTATTTCTTCAGTAACTATTGGTTTTAACAGAAGTTAAGAAATTCTAAAGCATATCTTTGCCTGCTTTGCTCAGTTTGCCTGGAAAATCAAACTGGGTTCTGGCTTTAGTTGTGGGTGGTGTGTTTTTTGTTTTTTGTTTGTTTGTTTGTTTTGTTTTTTTTTTTGTTGTTGTTTTTTGGGTTTTTTTTGGGTTTTTTTTGTGGCAAGGAATTAAAAACAAGTGCAAAGAACAGCTGTAGATCAGTCATGCGACACTGGCGTTTGCTTCTTCTGCCATTGTGCAGGGTTGCCTTTGGAATGGGACTGCCTCTGTGAATGCCTCTCACTAATGTCACCTGTACATCACAGCAATAAACATGTGCTGTTTATTGAAGTTGCATGATTCCAATATCAACATGCTCAATTTCGGATTTGTTTATTGGAATAAATAGATTTCTGACACTGTGGATATTGGAAAATTCTGAACTTTTCTAGGAAAATCTTTTATAAGTGTCTATTTACTTCATATGTTAGGTATTTGGTTTAGATCTGTGAAGCCATATTGGAGTCTGACTAGTAATTTTGCTTATACTTAGGGAATTCTGGGGTCTGGTTTTGCCCTGAAAGTACAGCAGAAGCAACGTCAGAAACACTTCAACAGACAAATCCCAGCTGCAGCATCTCTAATTCAGGTAAGGCCCCTAACAGTAAAATGCTTAGGATAGTATAGAGAGGGGGTATGGACTAGTAGTTAAAGTACTGAGAGTTACTGTTACTAGCTCTTATTATAAATCTATAACTTGTGTTTTTGAGCCGCTTTGTCTTTCTGATCCACTTCAGTCACTAGCGAGAATTAGATAATTGCCTGTCCCCCAATCTTATCAGTGAACACAGGAGGCTTTATTAGCCTGATAGTCACAGGCATGGTGACGCTAACTGGATGCAATGAGTCTATTTGGTGAAACAGTAAAACAAAAAAAACCCTGTTATAATCTTTAATTCCTAACTTGCTTTTTATATTCCTTTTGGTCCTACGCATCTGCCAAATCCTGAGATGATGAACATGTATATGTAGGCATGTACAGGCACACGTCAGTTTAGAAAAATGTTGCAGCATAACATTGTGTTTGATAATATAAAGAATGCAATAGTATGGTGCACAAATACTAAACTGTGGCACACTGCAGAAAAAAAGGAAGGATCGGTATTGTATGATGTTTGCAGGGATCCACTTTTATGGGGGTTGTGGTGGGTTGTTTTTTTTTTTTGCTTACTGTGGGCAGGGTTAGACACCAGCTCCTAGGGAGAACACTACAAAGAGTATACTTACAATCACTGTGTGCTGAGTTTACGTTTCCTGGTGCAAATTACACTTACCACAGTTATATACAGGGAAGAGTGTGTTTTATTAGGCATGGTGTTGTGTGGTACAGCGCAGTGATTGCAGTCAGAATCCTTTGCAGCAGGTTCACATTGACTGAAGATTTCGCTGTCAGCTTGGTTTGCAGCAAAATTTGACTTACACAACACAACAACAGCGACTGCTTATTCACTGAAATTATTGGTTTGGGGTTTTATTATAGACTCTGTGGCGGTGTTATGCAGCAGAGAAATCCTGCAGTTCTACAGCAACATGGAAGATCTACGTCACATCACCGGTGCCAAATCCCAAAAAGCCACTAGCGCCATCTAGCCCTAGCCTGAGAAAACAGGTAACGGAGAGTTGGCAGAGCTCTATCCTGTTCTTGCTTTTAATTTGGTTGGGGTAACTTGCCAAAATCCTTACAAAGTGTCTGAACAATTTGAAGAGCCGAAAGCCTTTTGTGATGGGATATTTAATTTTTTTTTTCCTTGTGCCACAGCACAATTTAAGTTTCCTGTCCCTCAGGAATATTTTAAGTAAAATTTAAATTTGCCCTGGCGGTCTGACATGTGCAGATTCTCCATTGTTTTATCCCCATTGAAATCTCCTCTACCTTCTCAAAGGGTAGTGTAAGTCAATGATGACACTTCCCATTTTGCATAGTAGTTCATACAGGAAGAAAGGAGAAAGCTAGTTTAAAAATTTATGTTCACATTCAAGACGTGGCTGACAGTATCTATACTTGTCTCGGGTACTTCTCTCCATGGTACTCTTATGTGGGCCTATGTGTAGAAATTTGAGCAAATTCCTGAGCTGTGGCTGCAGTCAAGTGAAATAGTGTTTGTCTGTACGGGTGGGACTGCCTAAACATCGTTACGCAGTTTCATTGGGAAGCTTGCCTAGCCTTCAGCACCCCTTCTGGAAAGGCCCAGGTCTGCAGCAGGTCTAGCTCAGATACCCAGGGTTTCTGAAGTGATGTTAGAGGCCTGGTTTTAGGCAGTGAAATTCCACTGATGCCTGTTGCCCAGCAGAGAATTGCGGCGTGACTTGCCCACAGCACACGTAGAAAGCTGTATCAGCATGAGCTGTGTGCATGTAGTGTTTTGGTGTTACAGCAGTGCAGTCCACTTGGTGCTGAGCAGAGTGTGACTTTGCCACAAGACTAGCCTCCTCATAACTAGAGGCAGAAAAAACAGAAGGAAGGGAGTACAGCTGAAGTAAGGTTGGGTAGTCTGTGTTGCTGAACAGCAAGCAATCCATGGTGGGAGACCTGCAAAAAAAGGATAGTTTTTCGTGCCCTCAATATTTTCCCTCTTTTTTCTCTAGTGAGAGGCATTTCCCTAATATATTATTAAACCTGAGATTCCCTGTGAACTGCTAACTGTAATTCAAGAACATAGTAATGGTTCTTTCATCTCTTACCAATGGATCATCTTCTCTCATTAAAGGAGACTAGTTCAGACTAGTACATGACTATGTAGCGTCTTATTTTAAAGACATATATTTATCATCTTGTGCATGTTTTAGCATTTTATTTTCCAGAAAATTCCTAGTTTATTTTCCTGATATGAGAGACCATAATCTTTTGTTTAGAAGCATTTTGATGCATCTACAATAAATGCCCACTTCTGCCATTTTTTCATGTCCCCTTTGTTTAATTTCAAACATGCTTTTGTTGCTGTGGAGCTGAACAGAAGAATGAATTTCAAATGACTGAATACAGACTGTAGTAAAATAGAATTGGTTTACTTAGACAAAGTAGCATTGCCCCATTAGTGACTATACTGAGCCTGCAGCTGTTTGTGTTGGTATGTGTGAATATTCACTCTCTCTGATGCTTATCTCTGCTAACTGCTTAGTGGTTGCATCAGAGGCCAGAGTACTTTGTGGAATTGACTGCAGTAGCCCTAAATCTCAGCTTCTTGTCAGAAGGTTACTGGAGCATCAGGCAAGTTAAGGAGTATGCCTCTTACCTCTGTTTTGAGGTGTGTGAGTACTAGAACCAGGTGGGACTAGAGCCAAAGGGTAGGTAGTCACAAAGACTGGAAATAAATGCTATGTTGTGAGAAGTAGTGTTTCTATGGCTAGGTGGTGGCAGCATCCAGGAAGTAGACAGCATGGGCCATGTAGTCAGTATGTGAGGGGCCATTATGTTGGTCACTTCTAGTCACAAAGGCAGATGGAGACCAGCCTTGCTTGGAACCAGTTGAATTCAAACCTTCATTTTTCATTCTTATGTACCAGATCTAGAGTGTTTATTAGGTTGCCTCTTGGGCTTCTAAAATCAGAATTTCAACTTTGGAGGAAGGACTTATCTTCTCCTGATGTGCCTAATTCAGCCTTTTTGGTAAAAGGTGACATTTTCTTTAGTTGAAAAGGCTGCACAGTACCTAGCTCATCACTTGAAGTGTATGTTTGTTTCATTAGAGCTTTAGAAAGGTGTTACAGCCAAACTGTTTACTCAAGGGATTAGTATTTTGGGTGCCTTGAGTTTTGGACACAGTTTGAGGCATTTTACTTGAGACCTGATTTTCAGAATGTGCTAGGCATCTTCTCCTGAGAATCAAATTCTTAACAGATTTAAGGTAATAATTCAGAATAAGCCACTTTGAAAGTGTTACATTCTTGGCTAATGTTTTCACTTAATTTCAATTGCATTCTTTAAAAAAAAAAAATACAACTTCAAATGAATTTACTGTATAGTGAAGTTCACATGTACTTTTCTGGTTTTGATAGTATCTTCTGATACCATCCCATTTCTACTACCACAGGCTAGAAGATACAAAAGAAAAGGGAAGCTAGGATGTGGTAGCAGTTCTGCACCTGTAATAAACCCAGGAGAGAATGCCTTGTCTATTCCACAGATCACATATGATCACACTGATGAGCAACAAGACAAAAAAGATGTGTCTTTCTACATTGATGAACCAGGAGGTAATTTACTTTCACTTATGTTCATGTTGGCATTTTTAAGAGACTAAGTGAATTGAACTGATGAAAAATTTTCCATGAAAGCATAATTTTAAACTAATCAGTAAAACAAGATGCCTAAAACCAAGGACAACTACATAACAAAAAAAGGAGGACACAAATGAAAGGAAATACTTAGATTCGTATGGTGTGAACATCAAAAGAGCTTTCTTTATTTACTGAAGTTAACTCAATATTTTGGATATAGTGTCAATTCTGCTTTTTTGAATTATCTCAGAGCTGGATGGAAAGCTTCCTCAGATTTATCCTACCTTTAAACTTTACCTCACACAGAGGCTGAAGGAAGGAAAATAAACCAGGAAAAATATATTTACATTTTTACATCACCTTCTTAAACATTGTGCTAATGAATTGCGATAGGAACAGCTAAATATTTTTATGTTTATACCAACCAAATGTTTTGATGAGTGGGGTTTTTTCTTGCTTCGTTTAAAATATTGTGTGTTGCTTTAAGTGGCTGTTGTATTTCAACCTGGAAATGTGCTGAACTTCTGAGCTAAGATACTGCTTTGTAAAATTATTTTTTTTTAGTTCAGCTTGTAGTGGAAATATGGGTATGAAATAGTATTGTTTACTATAAATTGCGGCAGGGGTAGTTTGTAAAACTAATTTTTCTACCTTTTTGATGATTTCCTTTGTCTGATGGGGTTGGGGAAACTTGTGCTAGTTCTGAATCTGCTAAATCTTTAGCTCAAGGGGAGATTGTTTCCTCACAGTCCAAGGAGTTATGTTCCATACCTAGAGGCGTGCAAAGCCTTGCCAGGGTAACTGAGGTATCCAAAGATGTTGTCCCTAGTCAAATGTAGGTTATTATGTGGTGCTTTGACTTAGGCTTTCATCTGTCTTTGATAAACCTGAACATCTACTCTGTATAAAGTTGTTGGTCTTATATGACATCGAAGCTGACACACAATTTCAGCCTAGAGAGAGTATGGCTTGACATGATGGTTTCTGTATTAAAAAGTACTTTAAATATTTTTGCCCCCAGAGGGAACACAACCAAAGGCAGGAATTTCACTGGTTTTCTCTGACTTTGGGGAGCTGCTGGAACAGTTGGTCAGATGTGGAATAGCTGGGAGCTTAGAGCTCTGGCATATCAAGGTGCATTTGGCTCCAACAGGGATTTAGAAAGACTTTCAAGACTCTGCTTCATGCAACTCATATCCATGAACTGCCCTTGTGGGAGGAAGACTTTTTCTTCCACTGATGGAAGTTTTCACTACCCCTCATTCTCCCTTATGTTTTTTGATCTTGTGTAGATCTTACATCTGTCACTTTGAGGTCAGAATGCTTTTCAGCAATGGTGGTTTTTTAATTGTTTGGCATTTTCAGTGCTTTTATAGAGTCCTGGGAAAGGGGACAAAAGGTGTGATTTATCAGTAAAGTTGCTGCTTTAACTATGTGTCTCTTAACAGAATACTGTGTTCACTCTCAGCACATTTATCAGAGCCATGCAACTTCCCTTGCTGACCATGTAATAGCATCTTTTGCTGAGTGTATTTTGATGTTGTTGTATCAGTTGGTGATGGATAGAAGCAGCAAAATGTTGTGTAACTTCTAACAGTACTGAAAACAGTTAAGATGTTGAACTATGTTGTCTGTATTCATGACCCTGCCAGTGTGCATTTATTCACTTAAGCTATATTCCTTAAAGATTCATAATTAGTCTGAGCAAAGCTCTGTGTATCAGAGAAGAGAGATTGGAAAGACCAGTGTATATGTTTTTCTGCCTGACAACTTGGTAAGAGGAAAACAAAATAATTTTTTCCACTTTTTCTGCAAATGTTTTCTTCCTGTACTTTTATTATAGCTGGTCTAACTTATTCCTCTTCTGAGTGAGAGCCATGAATATTATTCCCTTACCAATTAAGTTTTATCTCTTTTTTCGTTTTCTTTCACATTTGGCCTTAGCCAGTGTCAGGGGTAAGTCACACTTCATTTGATTTTCTGATTTATTCCTTCTGATGCAAAGCTTCCAGGAATGTAGTTGGCTAACTCAATTGCTCAATTGACTCAATTGAGTCAAAATGACTTGACACCTCTCAAAAGTTTAAAGCTGATTTCTCTCAGTGAAGTTCTCCTTCCCAAAATTAATAGGCTTCTGTTCTTGGGAAGTGGAAGTACTACACTTCAAGCCTGTAAATGGTGGTATTTTTTCCCCTCTCTTAAAAAGCTGAAAGTAGAAAAGGCAGAGAAAATAACTTAAAAAAGAAGCTGGCACAGCCCTTTTCAATTGGCTATTTCAGTGTTGCTATAGTGGAATATTTTATTCATTGGCTGTGGGGGCTGGATGTTTTACAGATGATGGCAGACTTGGAGGTTGAATTAGATCACTTTTATAGGCCTGACCTAGGAGGAGCATAGCTGTTGCTTTAAAACAGTTCTTCTAGTCTGCTGCTCCAGTCAGATGAGAGAGAGACTGTAGGTAGACCTGAAACAAATGCCTGGCAAGTGCTGGTAACAGAATAACAGTCCCACTAAGAAAATTGTTTGTTCTGGACAGAAATAGACTGAAATTAAGTTAAATTTCCTTGATAAAGGAGAGATTTACCTTAGTTAGGGGACTACATTGTGTGCGCACACCTCTTTTCAGGAAAATAGGGTTTTTCTTAGGATATCCTGTTCATGTATCCATCTCCACCCAGCATCCTCTTGGCTTGCTCAAAACTTGCGTGGGAGGCATATCTTTCAAAGCTAGGCAAAAATGCTTTCCTCTTCTATATGAAAAAGCCTTGATAAAAGGGAAGCCTTATAAAACCTATAGATATGATCAACATTAAGGTGTCTGAGATACTTGTGTATGTGTAATTAAAAAAACATGTATTGGATAGTGCATGATGTAGAAACTAAATCTTTATGCGCTGTAAGTGATGGAATCTTGAATCGAACACTTGATAACCCGAAAGGAAAACAGTTGCTGACTTAGTTCTGCACCACGTGTGGGGTTTAGGGTGTGACCAACGCAGAGTGCTCTGTAACCCTAAGAATGTGACCATCCTTGCAAGAATGGAAAGTCTGAAAGTCTTCTGCAGTAATAGCTTCCTTGTTTGAAGTCAAACTTCTCAAAATGAGGAAGCTATTTAGAAATTAAAAAGGAACAACTAAAGGAAACATGAATTTAAGAAAAAAAAAAACTACCTGGAAAATAACTGTAATTCTGAATATACTCTAGTGAAGCATATTCTTTTCATGGATATCTATTTCTTCTGCTGAGGAATGTTTTCAAACCTGGGTGTATGGCTTAATTTTATCTCTAATGGTTTAAAACCCTCAGTGATTTCATCCTCACCTAAGATTATAGCCGTAATTGTTCTCTATAGTCTTGAAATTGATCCTTACCTGTACTTCTGTCAACCATTATGTACATACTCCCCTGCAATAGGGTCTCTTATCAGAATGAGAAGACATATATGAACTCTGTCATCTTTAATGTTCCTGTAAGATTTAAAGAAGGCACTTAAGTATCAAGATGTTACTTAGTCACAATAGCAAAAGTGAGTGGCAGGTCATAACGACTGATCCAAATAGAAGAAAAACAAATAACACTTGAGTGTAACTGAAATCTTTTACATGCAATTGAGTTTCATTTTTAAATAACAGCTATTCACTACCATGTATGCTTCTCAAAATGGCCTGAATAGCCATTTCATAATGTTTTTTATTACAGAGGAAAAAATTACAAAAATGTGAAAGTTTTTGGCCCTTGAAGGTCAGCCTCCTGGGACATCTCCAGCAGATGGAATATATTATTCTCTGTCAGTTATTGTAGGTTGTATGCACAACTCATTATTGTAAAATTTGTCAAAGTGACAAGACTCTCACAGTGAAAAATCTCTGCTGGGGTAAAACCAAAATTCCCTATTTATGAGTATGCTTTTCTGGTTGCTTTTTGGAGTTTCCTGCATGCTGACATATTCCCCATCCTCACTCCTATATTTAAGCAAAACTGCACAGCAGTAACTCTTCACCAGGAGGGAGGAGAACTGTTATTTTCTGTGACCCCCAGAATACCTTTGTAAGCCCTCTTATGTAAAGTGTGTAATAGTTTTGATGTTGATTTATTCTGTCTGTAATGCTAGTTTGGATGCTGACGTTTCAGAATTCACCTCTATAGTAATGGGTTGGTTGTTCATGGAAACTGGTTGCTTTTCCATTGGGCTGGGAAAAGGGCTGCTTTCCCTCAGTAGTGCAGATGGATTACAATCTGCAGTACATACAAAGAAGCAAGCATTTTAAATTAAGTGGATTCATAGATTTCAGTCCTGACAAGCTGAGTGAAAGGTGAGAAAAAACATGTGGCTAAAATTAACAGAATAAACCAAGCACTGGAGTTTTTGAGGGTCTGCATAACTGTCAGTGTCAGAAAAGTGTAAATATAAAGATACAATCCAAATTAGCAAGAGAAAGTATCCAGATACTATGCTTCTGAAAAACATCGTGCTTTTATGAAGGTGAGTTTAGCAGATGCTGGTGGGTTTGCAGTGACAATCTATATTCAGGATAGGGCTGTTTAATTTCTGAATTTGTTAGTCAGTTCAGGACTTGTAGGTACTATTGGTACTTGCCTGTGAGTAAGAATTGCGGAAACATATTTGTATGCCTCTACCAGAAACTTTTCAGTCTTTGCTGTTTCAGCCCTGGCTGTCCTGAGTGAGACCTTCCAGTGAATTCTGTGGTTTATTTTGCATGACCAAAGTAGATGGTAGACTTGGGGGAGGGGGGTGGTGTAAGGCGAGATGAAGGCTGAGAGGAAGAGAACAGCTGCCTCTGCCAAACTCAGTCTTACTTCTGATTAAATCTGGCAGCTTTTGTGGTTTAAAAATTTATTTTTGTTCTGCATTTATTCAACTCCCTGTTCGGTTCTGAATCGGGCAGGAGTTTAGATCACCAGTCACACCAGGCTTGAGCAGGGACTTTGTACCAGATGGTCCCAGAGACCGTGG